CAACATGGTCGCCAACTTTGAAGTGCTTAACATCCATACCAACCTCTCTCACAATTCCCGTAATTTCATGTCTGACAATCATGAAAAAATTTCACAATATAAGTAAATGAGGTAAAATGTATCCTGGCACCGAATAATTTCTGAAATCAAGTTTCGCACCCTGGCACAAGAGGATATTTTGAAGTTCCAATTATATTCCTGGTCCAGATAACATCAGCGAAACACATCCCACAAAATGCAATGTCTAGCAGAACATCATCACTGCTGACTGCCCTGTGGTAAGTAAAATAAAATTTTAGCTGCAACTTAAAATAAATCGAAAAGTAGAATCAAATCAATAGTTCAACCATTTAAAGTTAGTGAATGATCATGTAATCCAAAGTGGCGAAATAGAACAGCCCTTTGGAGAGGACGAAAACTCAACCAAAAGAAAAGAAAATCAAGCATCTCAAAAGGCCATTCAATCATTGCACGCTGTAAATGTACCTCCGGTTGAATTCATAAGGTGAAAGAACTCCAGATGGATCCCTCGCTGCCCAACCAAGGCAATTCTCGTTTGCACTTGCAGAAGTCATTACAATTATTCTGCATTAAGAATGCAATACAGAAGTAAGAATAATGTTATAGCAGAGAAGCCTAGCAGTGTGTATTTGCGAAGATTGCTATTCCTTTACCACAAGTTGTATAACTTTACAGCTTTGTTGATAAACTTGAGTGTCATTACAGCTTTTCTAGGACTGATCTGAGTATGTTTGGAAGAAGTGGAATCATATATTCCTCCATCAAGAACTCTCATGTTCAGAAGATAAAAATATTGGCGTAGATGAGAATTGTTGAGATGGACACGCATGGGCATGTTATTGTTGATATTGGAGACAAAGTGAGAGTGGCTTCCGTGGAGGACAAGATAGGGGAAGCAAGACTGAGATGGTTGTGATAAGGAGATGCACATATGCTCCAGTGCGGAGGTGTGAGAGGTTGACTATGGATGACCTTAGGAAAGTTAGAGGTAAACCGAAGAAGTATTGAAAATAGGTGATTAGACATGACATGACCCAATGTCAATTTACCAAGGACATGACCTTAGATAGGAGATTGTGGAGTACACGAATTAGGATAGAAGATTAGTACGTAGAAATGCATTGTCTAGTTATTCATCCATACTAGTAGTCGTAGTATTACTCTTATAGTTTATTGTCTTCGATATTTGTTACTATCTATTGTTTCTTGAACTTTGACTCTCATATTATTTTGTTGTAGTACTAATCAATTACTATCTGTTATTCCATTACCTCTTTTCCTAATTGCTTTGGATGTTTTTCTTAAGCTAAGGGTTTATCAGAAACAATTTCTCTATCTGACATAGAAATAAGGTCTAATTACACTCTACTCTACTCTACTCTACCCTCCCATTTGGTCAGACCCCACTTCGTGAAACTGCACCGGATATATTGTTGTTTTTGGGCCCTACTAATTCGGATTTGTGCCACTTTGGGGGTAAAGTGGCTCGCTAACAAAACTTTCAGAGCTAAAACTCAGATTTATGTTAATTTATTTTTCCGAAAAATAAACAATTTACATTCTATATGCAAAAACCTTATAAGAATTGTTCTAATCGACCATATAACGTCTTAAAAAAATTAAAAAAATCAAATACAGCGATTGCATCAATAGGGATATAGTGAGTATAAAAAAATTGAAACATACAACAGATCGTTGACTTATTCTTCAAATTGCTATTACAATTATAGTACAGTTGATTCCAAATATCAGATTTTCAAATATGAAAAGTTCATAACGAAAAGAGAATAAACCTGGAAGGGAGAACGAACAGGGAAGAAGAGATAGAACTAATCAACAGCTCCCAAAAACAGTGACCGCAAATGAAAAAGTTACTTGAGTCTTGAGATGGATTTACTCTATTGTTTTTTATTTTTAAAATTGAATTTTGTTAAGAATTTTGAATTTTTTTATAAAAAATAATAATGATGTGGCCGAATTATAATTGGCCACGTGTCAAAAATGGTTTTGCAAAACCATTGTTAAAAAATAATGGCATGAATGAACATTTTCTTAAACGGTAATGACATAGATGAGCCAAACTTTTAACGAATGACATAAATGAGCCTTTTCTAATAGTTCGATGGCATATTTGAGCCTTTTCCCTTTAATATTTAAAATTTTGAAATTAGTTAGAGTTATATTTATTTTATTTTTTTGCGGAGAAGGGCCTAAAATTTCCCTCAAGTATTTGAATTGGTACAAAATTACCCTCCATCCAACTATCGGTCCTAAAATGACCCTGACGTCCACCTTTCGGCTCAAAAACACTCTTATGTCTAACGGATCATACTCATTAGGTGGATGGAGGGTAATATTGTACCAAATCTCATAGTTTAAGGGCATTTTAGTCCTTTTTCCGTTAAAATAATTTGAAATTACTTAATATATAAACTCACACGATTGACTTGATTTTGAATTTCATAGTAAATTTAAAATTATAAAAAGGGTAGGGATCTACTCTCTACACTCCTCCCTCCCCGACCAATCACTTCCTATCTCTTTCATTTTTTTCTATTTGGATCTTGTCCATCATTTTTTATTTTTTTTATTTATGACAAACAAGAGAAAGAAAAGGAGGAAAATAACGGTGCATTCATATAGAAATAATTAGTTCAATAAAAGATGAGTTAATTAAGCAAATATATACTAATATTACATTTTTCTTTTATGTGTCCCCAAAATTAATATTAAAAGAATACAAATAATCATTTCTCTTATCCCCACCCTCATCCCATCATGACAATAATACTAATTAAAATAATATAAATATGTGAGTTCATTTCAAGTTTGAGTCCAGGATATCCTAATAAAGAATAAAACATTACAAAAAGGAATAAAAGAGAAAATGAACAAGACATTTGGATAATTGAGAGAAAATTCTATATTAATGAAAATAATAACTTTTTTAGATGGACAATCAGTCGGAGTAAGTGTGGATTTTAGTTGGATCCCCATTTATGAGTTGGGCTACGTTATAATAAATTGAGATCGATTTAAAATAAGCCAATAGGAAGATATCATGAAATTAATTATTTTTTCAATATTATTTTCAAGTGTATCGGGTCAAAATATGAATCATAAGTGGTTTTTATAGAAAAATAGAATATTTAAAATATCATTTTTATTATTTATTTGAGAAGGGTTTAAATTTGGACCAATCACATTAAGCAATATAATAAATAAATATTTAATAATTTTACTTTAAGGGAGCTATTAAAAATAAGGGTAAATATGAGTCAAAAGATTAACATCGAGGATATTTTTGAACCGAAAGGTGGACGTCAGGGGTATTTTAGGGCCGATAGGTGGATGGAGGGTAATTTTGTACTAATTCAAATACTTGAGGGGCATTTTAGACCCTTCTCCGATTCTTTTATTTATTTATAACAAGTAAAAAATTTGATATTTGATATTTTGAAGGCAAATTGATTTTAGAGGTTTCTTTTTTAATTCAATGGTATGCAACAAAGAAAGAAACTTTTTTGATATATGAAGTTAAAAAATTCAAGATGTCTGATTTAGGACAGAGATATTCAAATCATTTTGCTATAACTCATATTGATTTGAGGCTTATGAATTTGCTACTATGATTTGGGGATTCAATTCAAAGCTGACAAGTGTATATTTCGCTATACATATACAAAAGAAAGCAGTTATATGTAATCTGTTTCTGTTTCGGTATACATATACAAAAGATTAATTGTATAATTTGTGCTTGTATAAAGCGAGAAGGAGAGAAAGGCAAAAGAGAATTGGACAGGAGAATATTTGTATTGTATAATATAAGTGTATAGGATGAAGATATATGTATTTGCATGTGTATATACAATTTTCTCTCGTTTTATATAAACAAAAACACAATTTATACATTTATGTTTGTATAAGCGAGAGAGGCGAGCGAGATCTGGGAGAGGGAGAGGGGGGAACAAAAATATATGTATATATACAATTTTCTCTTTCTTTATACAAACACAAACGCATTTTATACATTTGCGTTTGTATAAAAAGTGAGAGAGGCGAGCGAGATTCACCAGGAGAGAGGCGAAATATCAACAGTTTGCTATGGGGTACAATTAAATCAAACTATGTTTATAGCATTTAATTTGAATTAATATAATTTACTATTATATACAATTTTCCCTATTAGTAATAAGACTCCCAACTAAAAAATAAGAAATTATTTTGGCTTGTTATGCTTTTTTAATGCTAAATTTAGTTGAAAGATTTTATGGATAGAAAAACATAAATTGAGTAATTTTATTGATACAAAATAAAGTTTAGTAATTTTACTAAATAAATTTTCAAAGGTGAATGACCTTTTGAAATATTAACTCGAATTTAAATGAACCCTTCTCTCCTTCTAAGTTCCTGACTCATTATGGAAGAGAATTAGTCTATAATAGAGGTAAGCATTCGATTTTGAAAAAGTGGGCACTGAATATTTAATTGAACTAATTTGTTTTGGTTTTTCAATTTTGATTCGGTGTTTTAAAATGATTTGTCGGTGTGAATGAAAAATAAAATAAGAACAAAATTAAAGTATAAGACAATTAATTTTTTTAAACCATGTTAAGTTATTATGTGTCTCACAATTAAATATTTATTGTGCTTAAAAGATTATATTTGTCTAATCAAAAACATGTGCCTCCAATTACTGCTCGAGGAAACAAGGATGAGACCGAACCGAAAACCAAAGAAGCAAAATCAAAAAAATCGAATTAGTTCAATTTTATTTTTTTTTTAATTCTCCATATTTGTGCCCACTCTTTGAAGTTAACAATTATATATATTATATTAGCATTTGGTTAATTAAGTCCTTTTGTACAACATACAAAAAACTTGGATTATACGGAGAAAGCCTAATGTTTCATTATTTTTATTGAAATTGACAACAATAACATCAAGATTATAATTAATTAACATACATGTTTTATACATTACATGATAGAACAAGAATATACATTATCATCATTAAACAAATTGCTAACTTTGTCATCTCCTCTTTGAGTTATAGGCAAAGTACCATACTTATCAGTAGCATTGTAACCATGTCTCCAATAATTGTAACTTTCTTTGTACTCTGTTGTTGTATCTTTGAAGTAATTATTTGATGATGTGAAATATAGTGGTGGATTTGGATATGGCCAAAATTCTGCCCTCTTTCCTGATCTTCTTACTGCTTTTAGCACCTTTTTTCGATCGACGTATCCCATTATGGTCACCTTTTCCATCTCTACATCGATCTCTACTGAATCCACCCCTGTTATTTATACGCTTATTATTATATGTTTAACAAAATTATAGATTTGTAGCGAAATGTTTGATGTATATATTGTGGCGAATTTAATTGTTGTGAACAAAATTTGTGACGGACATGTTATAATTTTGTCACAAATTTGTGAAGGCCAATGAGGCACTCACAAATTTGTTAGGGGTATGTGATAATGTGAATCATTATACTTAGTTCAATTGTAATTAAGAAAATTATAGATTTGTCATGGAATACTTATGATAGAACTTGATACGAGGGAGTTGCTTGGATAGTAAGCATTTTTCACTTTCAATTTTAAGATTGTAAGTTCGAGTCATTAAAAAAGCAAAAAAAATAAAAATGAGAGCTTGACATACTACTATAATGGAATTTTTACTATAGGGGCGGTGGAACTATAATTTCACTTATGAATTTGACAACATTCAATAACTTTAATTAAAATCTTGTGATGATAAGATTTTAAATTCAGTTATTTAAAATCTTGTAGTCTGATATATGTTATATGAAAAGTTAGAATAAAAAAGCTATCAATAAAGCCATAAAGGAAAGAAATATTTTTTTCGATAGATAAATAAATTAAAACCGATGATGCATAATCTTTGCATACCTCTAAGCTTGAGGACAGCGTCTTTGACAACTCTCTCACAACCAGGGCAACACATCCTTACTTTGAGTTCCACCGTCTGTAAAATAAATCACCATTAAATAATTCTCACAATTATTCTTTGCTTACTAAATTAATTGTACTTCATCCATCTCAAATTATTTGTCGTTATTCAACATTTAAGGTTTTAAATTATGATTTCAAATCTACTATTTATTTCAATTAATCTTAGTAAATTATTCGCCATGCACTATAACAAACAAAAGATGAGTAGTTTATTTAGCGCAATTATAAATATGAGTATTTATAATACAAATTAAATATCATTAAAGACTTTAGCAATTTTGAATATAATGACATTAACTCAATTATTGCTAAATATCTTTGGCGGCAATAAAAAATTGTATTACCACTAAACATCTCTTTTGTTATAGTAACATCAAAAATATTAAATTCAGATGATCTGATGCTATAAAACAGCATCCTAGGATAGTCATGTGATCAACATATTCATTTTAGCGTTAGCTAAGTCTAACAACATTAGTGTAAAGAATTTTTCCTAGTATAAATTCACTTAAATAATATTTATAGGTAAGCTTTCTTAAACTTTAAAATAAGATAGGTTATATGAGAAGAAATTACTAGATTCAATTAGTCACTATGAAGATTATCCTAACTAGGCTTTGCATCAAAAGGATGACAGGCTTTCCGGATCGCTATTGGTCTCCATCTATCATTTATACTTTTTAATTTTCTTTCGAAGACTTGGAAATATATTTCAGAATTTAGAAATGTATTAAATACTCGTTATACTTATTCTATCACGGGTTGTGGCCTAACTTCCCTTTGGAAGTTTCGTATGTGTTATTTCTTTTAGCTTACACACCATTTTGGGGTTCTGGGGTGTCTATCATCATGAACTCGACTTTTGGATCGTGACATAACTTGAAACTTTTTCCATTATTTAAAAGATACATCTTTACAATAAAGTTGGCTAGTAAATTCAGATGAAATCATTTCCAAGTTGAACTGATGAAAAGGTGAGAAAAGATTAAAGGAAGAAGAAAGACCAAAGAAAGTGAAACCTGCAAAGAAAGTGGTCGACCCCTAGGCATGTTGTTGTTGTTGTTGTTGTTGATGATGGCTTTGTATAGCAAAGAGATCTAACAGTGCCAAAGAGTTTCTGAATAGGCTTTCCATTTGTAAAGAGGTTGCTTGAGTATATATATATTGACAATGACATATATGACTCATTAAAAAGGGGAGGAGACTTATTGTTGAAGACTTTAGTTAAGTAAATTATATAAAGATATATTTACTTGGGTTTCGGTCTCGGTAATAGAGAAAATTATGTTAAGAGTATTATAACATGCAATCTGAATTTAATCAGGTTTCAATGTGAATATCAGACACTTGATGATAAGCTCAAAGAAAAAAGACAAATAGTTCGTACGGTATGTTTTCTTGGGATTAAGCCCTGAAATGGAGAAAATCTTATTGAAAGTGTGTTCTCTAAAATTGCCCCTGCAACGTATAATACAAATTTAATCAAGTTTTAATATAGATATCACACACCAGATGAGACACCAATAAAAAAGACGACATAGTTAAGTAAATTATATAAAAGTATGTTTTCTCACTTCATAAAAAATTATTGTTAGCGGCAATTAATTAACGACAATAGGTTAATTATTGTTGAATATGCCTTTTTGAGGTAATTACTAGTGATAATTATATTCTAACACTTTCCTAAAATCTATATTAAAGTACATATTTCTTGTTGCTTAAAAGTTATTTTTATTGTAGAATATAATGAGATAGACAGATAATCACACATTTAACATGATATTTACCATAGTCAAGCATAATATGTTGTTTAAGTCTCACCGTCACCACTCTTTAAAAAAAAACAGTTTCACACGTAATAACGTGTTGAAGAAATAATTAATTAAATTAAGAGTATACTTTTGCTACCCAAAGAATTAAGGCATCTCTCCCCTAAGTTCCAATCTCTTGATTAGCACATCAATTAAGCAAGCAAACAATGTGCACTTGTCTCAAAAATGGCAACCCTCTTCACTTTTAGTAATTTTTCAATTGATTAAAAGCATGTGGGTCTTTTTATTTAATATTCTACTTTGTTGAATGAAAAACACTTTTATGTAGGAAGGGAATGGCATCTAAAAACTTGAAGCATGGGCCATGGGGACAAGCCAAATGGCTGCTGACACTGAAAAGTAAAAAAGGAATATCAAGACATAGGAAAATGAGATAGGCTAAAGAAAGTACAAATTAAAGGTCTTTATTTCCTATATATTTTTTGATATTTGGTGTCTGATATATGCATTAGAGTCCTAACTCATTTGGATTAGCATCATGTAGGACTGATTTTTAAAAAACGATTGCTTACAAGATAATGGTATAATACGTAATAAATATGCTTTTTAATTTGGCATCAATCAGTATCTATGTTCTCTAACTTTGAATATACATAAATAAACATTTATACGCATATATAAAATTGAACAAGTAGACACATACATTCGACGTGACATTTTACTTGACAATTCATGTAAGACGTTACGTAGGATACGTATATTTACTTATTCAATTTATAAAAATTTGAAAGTGTCTTCTTGTGCACAACTAGAGTTGGAACACATAAATGTTAATTAAAGCAAGTTAAGTAACATGTTTATGTGTTATATCAAAATAATAATTATACCTAAAGTTTGAATTCAAAATTTTTAATTAAAAATAAAGGAATCGTATTCATCCTACCTGATAAGTACAAAAGTTTTTTGATGCAAAGGAAACAAAATATTCCAAATATCTCCTTTTCATTTTGATCTGATCATCATCTCGTGTAAGCTTTTTATTTATTTATTTTTAATTATATGATACGAAGCATGCACCATTATCAACCAGTAATCCATTATCAAAGGTTTTATTCCTCACCTCTCAATTTTCTCCCTTCGTTTCATCGCATGACACACACACTGTTTTGTCTTTGATTCCTTTTAAAAAGAAAAGGAGTTTCCGCAAATATCTATTATAATAAATGTAATTATGTTCTATAATTGTAGTTTGTATATTTACGAGTTATAGCTACAATTTAAGTTATTTTGTTTGTATAATTCGCGAGTATGATTGTGTAATTGAGCTATTTTTGTACAAACTCGAAATATCGAATTTATACAAACACAAACATCTAAAGTTTAAACAGTTATACAAATTATATTATACAAAAGTTATATAAAATTTCAATAATACAAACGTGCGAATTATATAAACTCGAAACTCAGCCCACGTATTTATCATTGAATGTTAGTCGCTAGTGATAATTAATTAAATCTATAGTTATGATGACTACTTAACTAGTATATGTTTGCTTAACTATGCAATTTTCCCTAAAAAAGAGTTTAAGTTTTGTGCACTGTCAGTATATAAGATTTTCTACACCATATGGTTATTTTAAAGATAAACATGATAACTTAATTAAGTAATTAATAAAATATCTTTTTGAATATAATTATAATTATGATAAAATATAATAAAATAAAATAAAGTCCTCTTTCTTCTCTAACCAAAATTAATTCATAGTTATCTTCTTAATTAATCAAGTTTATTTGCTTTTCTACATCTGATTTTATTTGGTTCTATCTCTTTATCTTCTTGTTCTATTTTTTAGTTTTTGCGTCTTCTTTTGTTGTATTACTCGTTCAATTATTTTCAGTTAAATCACGTTTTCAAGGTTTTTGTGAATTTTCTCAGGGATAATAATTATATTTGTATCTAGATTATATTGTTATCAACCCTTTTGATCTTCAGGATATTTGAGATATCTTAATATTGTAGATCAGAATAATAAATTGCAAATTGCAATTTTTTTTTAATGCTTCTTTTTTTGTTTACGGATCATGACTTTATCAAAATTAAAAAAGAAAAAACAAAGACAATTAAGAAATTAAAAAATTACTTCTGATGAAAAAAAAACAGACGTAGAAAAACAAATAAACTTGATTAATTATGAAGATAACTATGAATTAATTTTGGTTAGAGAAGAAAGATGACTTAACTTTCCTTTACTATATTTTACCGTAATTATAATTATATTCAAAAAAAAAAATATTTATTACTTAATTAAGTTACCATGTTTATCTTAAAAATAACTCGATGGTCTAGAAAATCTTATACACTGACCGTGCACAAAACTTAAACTCATAAAAAAAATGCTAAATTTTGTGATGCTAATCCTTTTAATTTTTAAATTTAATAAATAAAAATTCAATTAAAAAGCTTTGATTCGATCCCAACTAAAATCCAAACTCATATGAATAAAGTAAAATATTAAAAGAACGGAACACTTTATCAAGAAATTTTGAGTCTTACACCATAACATTGTTTCCCTTATTAATAAAGTAAAACTCTTTGAAGGGGTTGATCGGAATTGTAAAAACTCTGTTATTTTTTAGGTAGTATCTCGAAGTTTAGTGACATATGAGTTGGAAAAAAATAGTGAAGTGATAATTATGTGATTATATTTGAAAATTTTCTGCTTTTTTGGAACGTATACATGAGGATATGCATATGTAGACATATTTTTCTATTTAGTAGATTGTTTAGACATATTCAATCCTAATAAATATATTTTCAAGATGATCTCATGTGTATAATATTATCATCTCACAACTTGAATTTTGTAAAATTGTTGTCACAAATAAAGTAGGCATTTGGCCATGCGATACCATATCGTGATATGGTATCGTGAGATAGAATCAGCGTTTGGACTTGCGATTTTACGTTGATTCCATCTCATGATTCCATATCATGAGATGTGATACCGTATTCTCTAAAAACCATGATATGGAATTATATGGGAATTCCATATCATGATTGAGATATTTTAATACAAAAATTGATCCACGAGTTTATATTTTGTTAAAACAACCCACATTTATATCTACTAACCATTTATTTCATATGTAAATAAAATTTATAATCACATCATTACTTTATAAAAATTATTATTTTCACTGACATAAAATTATTATTCTCACTAACATATAGTCACTTAAACTCACACCGACATTCATCTATGTGCAATGTGATTGAACGGACTTTTGGAGCTTGGAAAAATAGATTTAGAATACTGAAACAAGGCATGAACCATTATGATATTGATACACAAGTGAAAATTGTCATAACTTGTGCAGTGTTACATAATTATTTGCGAGAATACCAAAGTACTGATGAAATATTTATGGTCTATAAGCATGAAGATATATAGTTGCGGATGATATTGACCAACAAATGACTCAAAGTAACAATGTTGGTTCGTTTTCTCGGTCACATGATCGAGAAATGCAAGTTCAACGTGAAAAAATTATCCGTATTATGTGGGAGGATTATATTAAATACTAGTACACTACAATTTATGTTCAATTTTTTTTTATTAAACTAAAGTTAGATGAAACAATTACTTGAGTGGAAAACAAATAGTTTTATAATAATTTATTATGCGATTTTATAAAAATTTTGTTTATTTGATAAGATTGAATAAATAATTGGGACTATTTTAATAGTTTTACAACTTATGAGATTTTTATGTTTATGAGAAAATATACAACACAAATTCTATATCGCATGTCCAAACAAAACTTCAATTTCTTCTCATGATTCCATATCGCATGGCCAAATGGGCCCTAAATGATACGATTATAATTTACATGTTCAACTTTCAGATTAACAAGTATATTTTTGAAGCTTTTGATTACTACTAGTATATAGTGATTGAAAATACAGAAAAGAACAAGTAGCAATAGTGAATGTCAACATAATTAAAACAGTACAAATTTAGAGCAGCAAGGGATAAACCCTTGCTAAGTCATAACATCATACAACACAAAAATTCAACAAAGAGAAAATAGCAGTACAAAAAAAAACAATATGATGGCAAATCATTAAGATAACTTGTTACAGTCTTCATTTCCCATTGTACCTATAGATACTCTGTTTATATGTGTCCCATTGTACCTACTTCCTCAAGCTGTGTAATATGTATTCAGCATACAGATCCCTGCAGAAACGTAACGACCATGCAACGGATAAGTTACTATTATATTACATGAGAATGTGTATGGACAATAAGAAGAATCAAAAGTTATATCATACATGGAGTACTGAATGGCATTGACAGCAGAACTTGGAGGCAGGAAATCGTCAACAGCAACGTCTTTGTTTTCATTCTTCTTGTCTGAAGACGAGTTAAGAAATTCCTCATATGAAACTTTCTATAGATTCATTATCTAAGGGAGTTGTTATAATTAATAGATAAATTTAGGAGGATACAGTCTTCAAAAAAGCGGCGAATTTCAGCCAGGCGGTGAGGGGGGAGCTGCTTTATATCAGTGTAGTGGCGATATTCTGGATCATCAGCACACACTGCTATGATCTTGTCATCTTTCTCTCCCTGAATCGATGAAGAAAAACGTTGTTGTTGAAAGTAACGTTTACAAAGAGGAAGTTATTGTTTGGGATAAAAATAGGAACCTGATCAATCATAGGCATCAGACCTATCGCCCTAGCTCGAAGGAAACAACCTGGAAGGACAGGTTCCTGTTGAAAAAGTTAAAAGCCGATTACTGTTACAATCAGTCCTATTTGGAATAGTCACTAATGCAAATAGAACAATCGCAGTTTCGCCTGTCTTATACATTCATTTACCTACCTGCATGAGGACTAATACATCCATTGGGTCATTATCTTCACAGAGTGTTCGGGGAATGAAGCCATAGTTTTGAGGGTAAACCACTGAAGAGTATAGGATGCGATCAACCTGGTCATACATGGAAAAGGCGTAAACTGAAGGGTGATTCGCAATGCTGCTATAAAAATAAAAATAAAAACTATTCGACCAAAGCCAAGGTTAGCAAGTAATAGTACCCTCACTCTAAGATTAAGCATAGAGCGAAATACTCATCTCCTCGGAGCATCACTTAAAATTACCTTAATTTAGATCATTGTATCATACCTTAATAAGACCGGTTTTCTTGTCCAGCTCATATTTGACTTTGCTTCCTTTTGAAATCTCAATGACCTGCATGAACGCATTGTGGCGATCACAATAACACCAACTTAGTGTTTCCACACAAACAGATAATATAGTAATAAACCCTTTCTCATTTTTGTAAATCTATTTACATGAATGACTTAATGGTCCCAATAAATCAAAATTCCCCACAATCAAGATAAATGAAGAAAAGGACTAAAGAAGCTCTCGACTGTCATTTTTATCCGGATGGCAAAGATATGGAAACATATATGCAGCTTATGTGTAGGAGATGGTAGGATAATTGCATATAATGATCTTTTAGTTCTTTATAGTTTTTCCTCTAATACCAATAGCATGTCCCGTTGGAACGGTAATAGCTAGTGTCTCAACTATAGAAGACTATTTATTTATTGTGAAAATTTTCAAGATTGGCTCTCCTGATTTGAGATATGGAAAAGATGACTTTAATAAGTAATAACTGAAGAAGCAGATCAATTGATCATCTGGCTAATGCTTTTTCGGTAGGCTCTTGCTACAGTGAGTTAAACAAGGTGCTGGACAATACTCTCAACTTGCCTTTAGAAGATTATATGGATGAAAACAGTATGTTAAACTTCATCAATTCACTACAGGAATCGACTTCAGTATAGATTATAGTGCCCCTCTTTTTGTTATTGCGCAAGGGATTTTCTGACTTCTACCTACAGAGCACTTATTTTCGTGCTTTGCTGTTTATTCCAATAATGTACTTAGTTACCATTTCAAAAAAAATTAAGTAGGAATTTGGAACATTTAATGATATATCAGAGGTACACATATATCAAGCTGAATTGGAAGGAAAATTGCACAAATTCCAGTTTTCTTCTTCTATATTGATAGTGTTCACATTATGCATAGATGATATTCGTGCTTTCACCATGTTATCAAATGAGTGATACCAAATTTTCCAGTTAAAAAGCCAGATATAGAAAATTACACTATGCAAGTCACAATTCTAGTTAATTTCCCAACTTAAAAGAAGAATTAAAGTGCCCAGGCTGGGGATTCCAATTAGCTGCATATTAGTTGAACTTAAGGATTTAGTATACTTACAACATTGAAAACACTTGGAGCTTCAGGTCCTACAAAATAAAAGAAGCAAACCGGAAATGATCAGATTCAACTGCTGCGAAATTTGTGTTTTTCAGAATGATGAAAAAATGTAGTGCGTGCCAGCTAGATACCTATCTCAAGGTCGTGCCAAGGATGAGCAGCAACAGACCTCCTGGATATAGATGATAGGATCCTCTCATTCAAACGAGGGGCACGTCTTTGTGGAGACAGATCATCGTTTTCATTGCTCATTTTTACAATTTCTGGTAAACCTGAAAGAAAGTAAATGGACAACAGATCATTACGTTCATTTCATTGAAAATGTAGTAGGAAACAGTAAGTTAACATAGGCGGATCTAGAGTAAGTTTTGTGGGTTCAAATGAACCCTTAACTTATAGTTGGAACTTCGTATGCATATGTAACTATAACAAGATCATACTCATTCAGAACCCACTCACTTTAGATTCTAAATTTTCCACTGTATATCAGATGCATTGTTGCGTGGTTCACATATAATCATGTTACGTCGAATGTATATTCTATTCGAAAAGTACATTGACCTTAAGGGAAATAGTACTATCAAGCTCTACTTGTCTCAATAACAAATCCCCAAAATATAAGATCAAAAAAGTAAATGAACTTATGTGTGATTAAGTTTCCATATTGCAAAGCAGTTGAAACTAGAAAGTTCTTATTAGCTGCACCATGCTTTTTTACCCGTGTAGATAAAATTGGGAATTAGGGGAAAACATTTTCTCATGTTCGATTGGTCAAAATTTAAAAAAAAAACAATTCCACAACCCCCAAATCTCCATCCCCACCACCTCGTAAACATTTCAACATTTTCCTTCCTACTGAACACACCGTAGATCAAAACAAATTTTCCAGAACCAGAGCAAGTAAGAAAAGGAAAAAGAAGAACTGTGCATAGATGATCAACCAAAACTGGAATAATCCAAGTGAAATCTATGACGATTTAACAGAGAAATCACTGGAACCTGCAGGTTAGCCAGCTATTAGACTATAGTATTACAAATCAGATCACCAGGTGGATTAACCAATTGACTCCATTAATCTTAGCTCAAACTATACCACATTTAATTAAAAAAAACGTATACAGACTGATAATCATGATCTTCTAACTAAATCGAAGCATAAATTAATTTGCGAGAATCAATATTTTCAACCAAATGGAGCTGAGCGTACCTTGGATTGAACGAAAGAAGACTAGAGAGAGAAAAAGAGTGAATGAAAAGGTTGGAAAAGAGTGTGTGTATATATATATATGTAAGTAAAGTGGGAATAGAGAGGTGGTGGTAGAAAACTTGTTGATGTCCGATTATTTTTCTTGAACCTTTCAACATTTCATTCAATGCCCTCTTTTTTCCCACTATCTCTCCGTTGATTTGGTCTGTGTGAGTACATTGACAATTTTTTTTATTTTAAAATTTTTTATTACTATGTTGAAATTAGATTAATTTAAATTTACATCAAATATAATCTATTCGGAGATAATACTTTCTATTAAAAAAAAAATTGTATTTTCAAGTTTATTAATGAAAGGAAAAACTAGAGTAGAATTCCTTAGTTTTGATTTGAGGTTTCTTAGTTTGAGTGAGTAGTAATTGTGTTTGATCAAGTTATTTATGAAAAATTTCAATTAGTATTAGACAAGTAGTTTATGTTTGGTCATTCAACTATCGAATTACGAACAAGAGATATATTTATGTATACTTACAATATACTCTCTATGTCCCTAATTACTTGTCCACTTTTGAATTTGCACATCTATTAAGAAAATAATGACTGACATAGTGACTTTACCATTTTACATCTATTAATTATGAAGTGGATAAATTAAAAACTTAATATTTTCAAAAAGTTTTACCTTTTTCAGTGTAATTAATTGAGGGTAATAATAGGTAAAAAATAATTATCCTTTCTTGATTTGTCAAAATGGATAAGTAAATAGGGAGAACTAAAAAAAGAAAAGTAGACAAGTAATTAAGGACAGAGGGGTATATCTTTAGTAGTATATTTATATCTTTATGGGATAAATGTATTATAACTATTCAAGAATTAGATGAATTCATTTTATCTTTTACCGAATAATATAAGATATGAGCAGCTTAAAAGAGTTTTAAAAATTATAACAAAAAAAATAAAACTAAAATATTATGACATGTCATTTCGAGAAAAAGATGTTTTTATTCGGTCCAATATATTTTGAGAAAAATTGAAATAATTAAATTATACTATATATAATCTTTTTTTCTAACATGAATGAATTCATACGCTTACAAAGTTCTAAGAAGGAGTAAAAAAATAAATAGACATAACCACTTGCTTGGTTGGGTTTTCTATAAAACTCCATGCATCCAATATTTCACATGACATTAAAAAAATTAGATATAACCACTTGCTTGGTTGGTTCTTCTAAAAAAAAAAAATCCATGCAGACAATCTTTGACATTACATTAAAAAAATAGTTGTAATTGGGCACCACCCAAATAATTAAACAACTGAATAATGACTTTATCTTATATTCACACAATATTTATCCACGTCCTAATTGTCACTTATATATATTTGTTATTGTTAGTTGTTACACCCTCCCCCTGATCCGTCCCTTGCATGTAACGGTATTTGATTGGTCATGATCAAGTTGTTTATAAAAATAAAATAATGTTTTTTTAAAAATTTATAATTAAAATGAATCATGAATATTTGTATAGATATAAGATTATGTTATTAAATATTAAAGGAATGATTGTAAATTTAAATTATTTTTAAATACTTTGATGTAATTTCAAAATATTTTTTTTTATACTTTTTCATATTTTTATCTTTTAATATATTATTTCAAATTTGGACTTCAAATTTTGAATGGTCCAATAAAGGTTATAATCGATAGATATTAGTAATTCTAATAAATCTCAAATTAAAATCAAATCAATGCTAATGCTAACAATAAAAAAATCAATTCAATATGAAGAACAACAATAATATTGAATAATTATTTTTTAATTTTACATTGGTTTAGACAATTAAAATATATAACCTAATTTTAGTTTTTCTATAATGTTTAATCATGTAATTAATAGCTATTAGACTTATTTTGGCATGATTTAGTTTTTTAAAATTATGATCATTTTCATTATAACTTATTTATTTTATGTCGTTTCATTATTATTTTTTGTTGAATATTTTAGTGTCACCACTCACTAGAGAAATATTTGAAGCACAAGTTAATAACTGAGAAAATCCAAAAATATTCAGGGACGGTAAACCAAAATTTTTTGCTGATTTAATTTGATTCGATTTATAGATTTGAAAATCCAATAACAAATAATTTAATTTGATATTTAAAATCTCGAATTAACTCGATCCATGTGTGTTAGAGACATTAGTGGGAGGTGTTATTCCTCCATTGTCAAGGTGAAGGAATAGTATAATCGGGAGCTTATTTCACCCCGACGTTTAAAGATTTTCACAAATATAATATCGATACTTATTTTCTCTGCTTCCATTACAAAAATTATTATATTCATTTTTATAAATTTATTTTTCTAAAAAAAATATTTCTCAAAAAATTTAGTCAAAAGAGAGATTAATTTAATTAGTAAATTAAAATATTATTATATGTTCTTAGTACTAAGATTATTTATTTTTTCTACATTAATTGTCATACACCAAATTGACTAATCCATGTTTTGATGGAAACTTTAGTGGAGACAAGGTGGGGAAGTGGAGAGAGACGGATATACGTATATTATGCTCTATGTTACCTAACTTCTCATGTATAAGTTGACTTGAGGTGTTTATATCACTTCTTTTCCCTTTAAATAATAATAATAATAAAAAAGAATACAAATCAAATTCTCTTAATTTGTTAAAATAGATAAAAATAATAATTAATAATCTACTATTAGAATAAGAGTCAAATAAAATAAAACTAAATATATACTAGGTAAGCATATATAGATAGACATCGTTTAAAATTGAATGCATTTACTTTTTCGAATATTTTTTATTAGATCCCACTAAGATTCATTACTTCTTTAGTCCAATATAAATAAATTCTACGTCAAGGCTTTCTCCAATACTTCTATTTTGATCTCATGTATTAGAGACTTCGTAGACTAGAGTATTTAAGTTATACATATGAATTGAAATCAACTTTTGTTGTCCCTAAAGATGGTTTAACACCTACTCCTACACATAAAACATGTCATCTTTGGCTCAGTCTCAACTAGAAAATGCATGAAATTTTACAGTTTATTGAGGTGATTATATATAATTAAAATAAATTATATATTTGATAAGATTAACTCTACTACTAGCAAAACAAAAACACAATTTGAACTCAAAGTGTTTAATTAGAGCGATTTATTAAGAGTTTAAAGTATTCAATTAAAACAAGAGTTGATTTAAATGTCGAAATGAAATATCCCGACAAATTTAAGAAATTAATTAGGGATTATGGATCAAGCCAAAATATAAAGTGATGTCTTAGGGAAACCAACATTCACTTATGGGCTCAATTGATAATGGTGAGGCCCACTATCTCTGCTTTGAAAATAGGGCCCAATGCTGACTACTTGATGGCCCAACATGGCATGTGAAATCTGTGTGAATGCATGTTGTCTTGATCCTTACTGTTACATGCTTAATACATTTTACTCCAAAGGACATAGTACATAAACGTGATATTTAAATTGGCTTTAATTGATATCTATATTTTTTAATTTTATATGTTTACAAATAAATATTTGAATTTGTATAAATCTATACAACTAGATATACATGTTATACATTTCATAATAAAAACCAATGGCCAAACACATACACAGCCCCTCAAACTTGGCCCAATTTTTCATTTTGGCACTCCAACTTAGCCTTGTTCCATTTTAACCCTTGAACTCCATTTTTTCTGTTCCATGTTAACACAAAATACTATTTTTATGATTCTTTATTTTATATATATTCTTCAAATGCAACTTTTTATTTTAAATTGACACGTGTCAATTAATTTTAGTTAAAAAAATTAAAAATTAACAAAAAAATTAAAAAAATAGACGTGTGCCTGTTAATTTTCATTAAAAAATTAAACATTCGCAAACAAATATAAAAAATTTCAAATAATAATATTATTTTTTGAGATTTCTCTGTATTTTTGCATGAAAATAAATTGACGAAAGTTCTTTGATTTTCTTTCTTAAACATTCAATTAAATTAAATAACACTACTTATTTATTTTTTCTTATCATCTAGGCTATCTAAATTTAACACAAATACTCACTTTTAATTTTTAATATAAATCAATACGAATAAAAAAACTCATCTTCAATACGAGTAAAAAAAGACTCTTGTTCATTGCTAATAACACTACTAAAAAATGTTACCAACACAATTTCGCCGGTTATTTTTCACACAAAAATACATAACACTCTTAAAAAGAAATTATTATTTTTTTAAAAAGAATTATTTTTTGTTAATTTTTAATTTTTTTAACTAAAATTAACTGACACATGTCGATTTAAAAAAAGAAGTTGCATTTGAAGAATATATATAAAATAAAGAAATCATAAAAATAGTATTTCGTGTTAAAATGGAACAGAAAAAATGGAGTTCAAGGGTTAAAATGGAACAAGGCTAAGTTGGAGTGCCAAAATGAAAAATTGAGCCAAGTTTAAGGGGCTGTGTATGTGTTTGGCCAAAACCAATTGAAGTGTATCTAACATGAATCGTCATGTATGATGTATATGCCTAATGTTCACTTTTATACAAATTTAAGTATCTACTTATGCATACTCAAAGCTAAAGAATGTAATATCAATTGAAATCAAGTTAAATTATACGCTTATCTATTATGCCCCGCAAATTTAAGCACCAATTCACTAGATCGCATGGTGGTTTATTTGGCGCATCGTTTCTATTTTCATGTTCGTGTCAACCATATTTAGAACATTAGATAAGTGTATAAATGGAGCATGGAAAAATAATTTCATATTCAAATGTGTGCAGTATAATAATAAATATGTTTTCCATCTCAATTTATATAACTTATTTTTTTTTGATCAATTTAAAAAAGAATGACATATTTCAATATTTGGTAACAATTTAACATTATAATACCTATTTTATCTTAACAAAATTATTCATAATTACTCAAATATCTATGACTTATTTTAAACTTCATGTCAACTCGAACAACATCACATA